GTCTTAACTAAAGGAATCTTTTCCAGTGACAGAAACAGTGCCTAGCATCTCTAGTTTATTACAGACTTCCACGATGGTTGCTTTTTGGCTTGGTAACATTGCCACCAAAGTTACCAGCCTGCCTTTCTTTCCCCCTTCTTCAGTCTCATCCCAAAGCTGGCCCCTCATCCACATTATAAAACTTGCAGCCAAAAGCAAAAGAATATATTGAACAAAGAAACATTTTAAAAAATTCTCAAACTGTGTAGAAAGTTACAATCCTCTTCTATCTCCTTTTGAAGTTTCAGTATTGACAGAGCACAGTGTTGATCAAATACATGTTCTTTCCTCCTTTTGGATATTCTCAATGCACATTCACATATTAAATGCTCTAAGAAGTAAAAAGGGAAAAAAGCACCTTTCTTCATGTAACACAGGGCTGGCCCACAGTACCCAGCCCCACCACCTCCAAAACAGTTCCTCACCTTCCTTTGAAACAGTGTTCAGGGAAACACACTTTGGGATGAACACTACCCTATGGCATCTTCATAGAGCCAGTAAAATCTGAAAAAGTGTAAGTCAGGATGGGATAATCCCAATTTTCAGGACCATGAACTCTGGAAGACTGACTTCTTTTAGTACAAATGCTCCTGAGGTTTCTCTGAAACAGCCTGAGGCCATACTTCCCAGGCGCTTCATAAAGGACTGTTCTTTGCAGGTCTGATGTCCACAACACAGGCCAGACCAGAAGCAGAGACAGGGGTGCTGTGATCTGGTCTCAGGCAGCCTGCTCCTGACAAATGTAGGCCACAGAAATGATGCCAGATATTTGCCACTCTGCTTCCTCTTATCAAAGTAAGAAAGAAAGAAAGAAAGAAAGAGAGAGAATGGCAGGAGGGAGGGAAGGAGGGAGGGCAGGAGGGGAGAAAGAAAGGAAAAAAAGAAAAAGTTCTTAAATATAGGCATGGAAAGTGATATCAGGAATAGACGCCTCCTATAGGATGCCTCCTCATCAGTGGAGAACATTTTCCAGATTTTCCAGAACATTTTTCAGAAACGTCTATGTGTGCTGTACTTGATAGAAGGGGACAGATAGGTTTGCAAAACAAACTGCTTCAGAAAGCCATCTGCCTGTGTCTCTCTCTCTCAAAAGCTCTCTCCTTAAAAAAATATTTTTAGAGTTATTCTAATTAAGAAGAGAAGTTCTGTCGGGTGTGAATACCCTTTTATATGGAAAGAATGTTTGGAGGGCTCGAAGATGGGCCTGGTAGAGCTCATACAAATCCAAATTCCAAACCAAATAACAGGAGAGTTGTGTATTGTATTTCAGTATTGCAAATTTCACAAAAGAATGGAAGGCAGGCCAGAAAGTAAGCAGTTAAGGAAGAGAAATATGCAGGCTACATCACATTCAAAATTAACTTGCAAAAACAAAGCAAATTTTTAAAATATCTTTGTATCTTACAAGTTATAGCCTAGAGATCTGTGCAACAAAATGGGCATTTTAATGAAAAACAGAATGGGGAAAATCTCCTACTATCACAACACTGGTTAATGATTTTCTTCTCTACACTTGTGCAATTATAAAATGTTATCTTTGGAAGAGAGAAGTTTATAAATCCATGTAGTTTGCAATGAGGAATCCAAGGCAGAAAGAAGCAAATTGGTTGGCCCAAGGTTGTTCAGCCTCTAAATTGCACAACTGACACTAAATCCCAGGGTCCCAATCACTAGTCTGGGCTTGCTCCCTTCCCCAAGCCATGGATTTGGTCCAGGTAGGTAACTCTTGGCTACAGACTCATTCCTGATGTGAAACACAAGTTTCGCTTTCTTGTGCCTCTTTATATGAAAACAGGGAAGGTCTGTCATCTGATAACCTCAGCATGTTAAAAAAAAACACACATACTTTGGGATGTGAAAAGATCTGACACAGCTTGCCTTGGGCTTTCTGTATTTGGGGACGATGGATCAAAAGGTAAAGATGAACCATTTTGAAAAGAAAATGAACGACATGTGCACGATACTGAGGCTATGTTACGTAATTGGCCTTGGGAAGCAGAGGCACTAGATGTACACATTGTTCGATTATGCTTTTACCTCCACTGTTACATCGTTATGCACCATTCTGGGGCTTCCCTGGTGGCTCAGACAGTAAAGAATCTGCCTGAGATGTGGGAGACCTGGGTTGATGCCCAGGTTGAGAAGGTCCCCTGGAGAAGGGAATGGCTACCCACTCCAGTATTCTTGCCTGGAGAATTCCATGGACAGAGGAGCCTGGCGGGCTACAGTCCATGGGGTCGCAGAGAGTCGGACAGGATCGAGTGATTAACGCTTTTACTTTTCACTTTCAAAACAGATTTCCCATGAGTCAGCCTGATTATGCAGAGAAAAATAAAACTATGTAAAGATACTGAAATTGACATTCTACGCTCCACCCTAATCACCATGTAGTGAAGTCCACAGTTGACAAGCTCTAGATCAGTACAGAAAGCTTCTAATCAGGTCTTTAGTGCCTCAATCTTAAGTATACGTGGACTGCTAAAGTTGCCTAAATACTGAAGGAAAACTTCTAAAGGAGACTGAAGACAAAATAAAAACAGACAAACAAAAACCCAGAAAAGTACATCTCTGGGGGAACAGAAAATACACAAAGAGAAAAAATATTAAAGATTATCATTAACATCTCTAAAGAAATAAAACAGTACATTTATGAATAAAAAAGCATGATGCTAGTTTAAAAAATGGGCATTTGAGGATCAAATATGAGACAATGGAAATTAATATATACAGTAAAGAAGAAATAAAATTCCAAAAGAAAGACCTTGAAAAAAAATTGAGATTATCTTTTATATATGAAGCAAAAAAAGAGGTGGAAAACAACACAAAGGGAAATGAGAAAATTATGGAACTCACAGAGAAGGACAAATATCTACACAACAAAAAAACAGGAACAAAAAATCATTAAATAATTCAAGAAAATTTCCAAGAACTGAAGGAGATTAACTCCAAGATTGGATAGGCCTACTGCATTAAAATAGAATAATTACACCATGATATACCCTTGTGCTGGAGAAGGAAATGGCAACCCACTCCAGTATTGTTGCCTGGAGAATCCCATGGACAGAGGAGCCTGGCAGGCTACTGCATATAGGGTCACAAAGAGTCGTACATAGCTGAGTGACTGAGCATGCATACCGTGCTGCAATTTTAGATCACTGATCCTAAAAGTTTCCATCAAAAAACAGACAAAAAATGAGAACAGCATCAGACTGCTGCACCCTGGATGTCAGAAGTAAATGAAGTCCACAATGTTCTCAGAGAAAATGCTTTTCAAACTAGAGTTTTCCATCCAGCAAGAGAAAAGAATGAAGTTGCCATATCTGCAAGGTCTCAAAAAAATATCTCTCACCCACCACCTTCCTTCAGAAGATACTGGAAGATGAATTTTGTTAAAATGAGGGAATAAGTGAAGAAAGAGGGAAAAATGAGGTTCAAGAAAAAAGATGCAACAAACAAATAAAGCAAAGAAAACCTCCACTTTGAGAAGTAGCTTAGAAAGTCCCCAGACATTCAAGTTCGAAGCAAAATTGATAGATTTTCCCCAATATATATATAAATCCAGTAAAATTATATTTACATAATGTAGAAGAATTTAGAGATGACTTAGTCTAAGTATATAAAAATTAGCAAAAACTAAGAAAACTAATTGAATAAAAAACCTAAGAAAACTAAGCAAATAAAAAGAGGTGATTATTAATTCCAAAGAAAATAAAAGGATGTGCAGAAAAGGCAAAATGATTATAATATACTATATAGTTCAACTACAAGTACAGTTCACACAGTAATAATAATGTAACTGTGGAATATAGATGATTGGTGTTTATGTAACTTACTGGGAAGAAAAATTACTTTTTGTGTGGGTAGAGTCAGGAAAGCAACATGTGTATGAAAGTGAAAGAAAACTAAAACCCCAACTTCCTGAAAAATCTAGATGAAAAATCTAGAGGTAGCAGTATAAGCAATATCATTTGGAACTTTGGAGAGTTGTTACCAAAGAAATGGCTAAATGAATTTAAAGTGGTTGCTTCTGGAAAGAAGAAATGGGGGAGGTGTGTTCTGGGCTTGTTATTTTTGCAACAGTCTTCATACAGATATTTTTCTTTGTTAAATTATTTGTATGTATGTGCGTGTACATTTTAGTTTCTTTCAAAAGCTAAATTTAAAAATACTTAGTTACTATGAACACCAACATCCCAATATTTAATAGTTCTATAAACTTCTAAGTCCTTGCTATATGTCTATTGCTAATTTCAACTGGAATTTTCTTCACCAAGGTCACAATAGGTTCCCTCCCCAGTTCCTCCGATTTACGTAACAAGTCTATTTTTGCTTGTTTGTTAAATGGCAAGGTTAATATTGCAGATGCTCTAACTGATGAACCCAGACTCGCTGAGCAGTTCTGAGACTGCATCTAGCTCTGCATTACCAGAGCTCTCAGACAATATATCAAATACACATGGACCCTTCTCACTAACTGTTGAGAGTTCAATAAAACCAAATATTCACCTATAACACCTTATCTGTAATCACGTGAACACTACTAAAAGTAGGCACTACAATCAGCAAAGCACTTTAAGGCATCCCCACTTGTCTCAACCATAATCAACACTATAACCAAAGAGGTGCCAAAATGATTCAGTATTGCCATTAGACAAACATTTCTGATAGAAGTCTCTGCACAATGTGAAGGTCTCCAAGTTTTGATTATAAAGGCAGCAAAAGACAGCCCTCTACTGAAAACTGGTCAGATTAGAAAGAAAAATACATAATCATCAAGACATTGCTGTATGCAAAGTATCTTAGGAAAAGTTCTTTCTCATTCATTTAAAAGAAGCTCATAATAGAACCCCACATTTTCAAGCATAAGTCTCTACATGTTTCTGGTCTAAAATGTGTTCTTTCTCCCACTTTTAAGGACACTATAAGGCAAATTATGTTCTCAGGAAAAGAAACAAACTTACCTTTCACAAGCTCGGACAGTCCATGCGGCAATTATCCATAATGAGATACTAAAAACCAAGAGTACAGTTCCTGGGCATATAGTCATTAAAGTCTTCATAACAAAACGCGTATTGAAGTTTATCTTATTAAGTGCTCCAATGCTTCTAGAGGAGGCATCAGTGAAAAGTTTGCTATGTAAAAGCATGACTCTGGCAATCAGATAGAGTCTTAAGAACATTGGTATAGACAAAATGATATCCACGTCAGCGGTGGTGGTGGATGGGGCATAGGAGAAGGCAAGCCGGGCCGTCCATGTGAACGTGTAATTCCCAGGTATGGGGTGAATAGCACACACCAGTATCTCCAAGCAGATGAAGAAGATACGCTCATAAGTCATGGCTATTCTCCAGTCATCTGCACCGTTGTCCACCATGAACAACTGGAAGATAAAGGAGAAAGTCAGCTCAGCATGGCTCAGCGCAGGTTTTCAAAACACATCACAGGCGACGTCAAGCAATCATGGCACGTGCTAGGCCTTAACTTCTAAATGCTAGTAGCCAGGTACACTATTTTAAGAAAATGGCATTGGCACAGAAGAACTTTATTTTGTAAAAATTAAGATTACAAACTCACCATACAGGAGCTGAAGCTATTTTGGAGTCTATGCCCCTGTTCAATCATGTCAGTGACAGTATTTAAAAACAAGGGACTGGGGCCTAACAGTAACGTACCTCCCCCTTAGCTGAAGTCAGAAAGGCTTGCCTTGTAACAAGCTGTTCTTCTCCTTGAGAATCTAGATGGAAACCTCACACAATTCTAGCCATATTCTCAGCAAAATCTACTTACAGTGCCTGGGCAATCGGTTATACCCTCTAATGCAACAATACAGGCGCGTTCTTACAGATAATCTTATTTTTGGCTTCTGAAAGAAAATCACAAGGGACCACAGACAAATGTGGCAAAAACGTTTCTCCCAGCTGCCTTGCCACTGCTCTATATTTTAACTCTTTCCTTCTGCTCTCCCGAAGCCTTCCCTCGGATTATTAATTTGTTTTCAATCTTTCTTTCCATAATAAAGGTTCCTCTTCCCTACTTCTGTCATTCCTCACTCCACAATGAACGAAAACAAAGAAAAGAAAGAAAAAGAAGATAGATAGACAATAAAAGGAACAGAAAAGAATGTTTCCTGTCTTCCCCGGCTGTTCAGTAAACAAGTCCCCCAGGCTCTAGATCACAAAGAACCAGAGGCATCTGGAAGTGTGTGGTGACATTTCTGACTGCCACAGTGACTTGTGAAGGCTACTGGCATTTAGAGCCGGGAAGCCAGCGGTGCCAAGCTCGCTGTAATTCTGAGAGTCCCACGCACAAAACAGACCTGTCTGCCCAGAATGCCGACAGTGCTCTCCCACTGAGCAAGATGACATATTCTTTGCCTTTTGGTAGGTAGCCAATTTCTGTACAAAGCATGAGATGAAAGCAACCCAAGTGAGAACAGAGAGTTCTCAGGTATGAGTTGCAGAGGAAGCTGGTTGAGCAGATCTTCACGATGATTGGATTCTATGATCTCTGTTCCTCTGGAGTCAAAATAGTCATTTCCCCATCACTTGAATGCTAAGTTGCATCAGTCGTGTCTGACTCTGTGCAATCCTATGGACTGTAGCCTGCCAGGCTCCTCTGTCCATGGAATTCTCCAGGCAAGAATACTGGAGTGGGTTGCCATGCCTCCTCCTCCCCGCAGCACTTAGATGGTAACAAATTCCCATTCTAAGTTAATGGTCCTGCAGGTCATGGCTACTGCCCACACTGTCATTCAAACACTGCCCTCAGCGCTACTTGCAAAGACAGGAATTTGAGGACAAAATGATCACTTCTTTCTGGTACTTCAAAAAAGTTGGAGAATAAGCAGGATCTCTTATCAAGTTTTCAACAAATTAAGTTATGGCAACATATGGTTTTCTGTACGCCTTTATCATTAACTTTCTACCTAGGGAACTCTAAGAGTTTGATAAATAAATGCTGCTACTGCTAAATCACATCAGTCGTGTCCGACTCTGTGTGATCCCATAGACGGCAGCCCACTAGGCTCCCCCGTCCCTGGGATTCTCCAGGCAAGAACACTGGAGTAGGTTGTTCTTTCTTCAATGCATGAAAGTGAAAAGTGAAAGTGAAGTCGCTCAGTCATGTCCGACTCTGTGCAACTCCATGAACTGCAGCCCACCAGGCTCCTCCATCCATGGGATTTTCCAGGCAAGAGTACTGGAGTGGGCTGCCATTGCCTTCTCCAAATAAATGCTAAGAGACAGTAAAAATTAGACTTTCCAGTTTCCAAGAAAGAAACAGATCATAAATAAAACCATTAAGTTGGCCACAGAAATATTCTTGTGCAGTTCACCACTTTCAATACCACACTGGCATAAAAGAGTTCAATTAATAAAGATATACAAAAGATTGTATAGATATAATGGTAGAAGCCTTCTAAACTGTTTATCAGTGACTATTTACAGGATACTCTATAACTCTTCAGGAATGTGAACCCAAAATCTCTTAAGGTCCTTATGTCCAAAAGGATGTCTTCCTCCAACTAGCTACTTTGAGAGGCTCTATACATTCTAGAGGCACTATCACTACTCTTGGTAAAGTGCTATCAAGTGCCAGTGCAAGTCACGTAAGAAAAGCAATATTGGTATTTAAGTCTACGTTTCCATTTCTACTGAAAATGATATTACCAAGTTTGTCTCCTTTCTTCACCAAACATGGCTCTGAATGACTTGGAAACATATCAAATCCACCCCCAAAAGGAGTCATAAGCACCAAGACACCGGATAGACAGAAGCTGTGCAACAGATTCTCAGCACGATTCCAAGACAGGGTTTCCTTGCGCCCTTCTGGGCAAAAGCAGCATCAGAGCAGAAGGAATGCCTTCTGAGGTGAGTGGTAAAGCAATGTGTAATTCTGACAGGTTACTTCCAGGCTCCTATTTCTCCTGGTCCTCCCCCATCACTCCCAGAGCACTTGGTCCTCTGACCTCAGGCTTTCCATCGCCCTCTCTGCTCACTTCCCTAACGAGGCTGGTTCACTCCACTCCTTCCCAGCACTCCAACCACTGTGCCATCAGTACCCTCAGCAGCCTTCTCCCTCATGTTCTGGTGGACCTACCCTGGTCACTTTCCATCGCGGATGTGCAGGCAGGCTGAGCCCACCACAGGCCCGTGACTTCGGCGCCGCTGAACCCTCAGTGTCTCTGCCATCATCCTCCGACCCCACAGCTTCTGCTCCAGACAGGCGTCTTTCCCTCCAGGGCCAACTTTGTTCCTGTCAGTACACTTGCCCTTGGTATCAGAAATACCTCCATTTTATACTTCAGTCACAAGCTCACCTATATCTCATCCTTTTCCCCTTATTTCCACTCTCTTCTGTTCCACCTATTTACAGCACTGTTCCATGGAAATCCAGTTCCCCTCCACTGACAGCCCCATTCCTGTGCTTTCTCCATCTCAGCAGACGATACAAGCAAGTTCAAATCCCCGCCATTCGTGAAAATCAGAGCAACACAAACAAGGGCTTCCCTGGTGGCTCAGATGGAAAAGCGTCTGCCTGCAGTGCGGGAGACCTGGGTTCGATCCCTGAGTCAGGAAGATCCCCTGGAGAAGGAAACGTTAACCCACTCCAGTACTCTTGCCTGGAAAATTCCATGGACAGAGGAGCCTTGTAGGCTACAGTCCATGGGGTCACAAAAGTCGGACGCAACTGGGCGACTTCACTTCACTTCAACAGAGTCCCTGCCAGCTCTGTGTCTGCCCTAAGTAGTCTTCACTTTCTCACTTCTCTTTCAGCCCTAGCACCTCCATGGGGCTTTCATCCTCATCACCCATCACCCCACCAATACAGCTCTAAGGGTCAGTCAAGATACCTTAATCATGAACTCTAGTCCTTCCAACTTAATCTTTATCTCACTTGATCTGATATTAATCATTTCTTCCTTCCTAAAACAGATCTCCGGCTTGTGTGACATTGCTTTTTAAAAATATCTGCTGCCATTCTGAAGAATCTATCTCATTTTTTTCTCTGAAATAAAGCACTTTCCCCTTACAGCCATTCACGAGCCCCTTCTCTACCATCCTCTGTGGGGTCCATCTCGGACTCTTCCTTCTGTACTTTCCAGGAGGACCAAGTCCATGCCTTTTACCTCTACAACCAGATTCCTCCTACTGGAAGCCATCATCCATCCTCCAGTGACCTTCTGAAAATGGAAATTATACAATCCTATTGCTATCAAGAATAAAACCATTCCAAGCCCCCCTCCCCCCGTCAGTTCAGCAATCTGGTTTTGCCTATCTCTTCAAACTCATTCCCTATTTCTCTTACATCCCCCTCTGGTTGCAGATTTCAGAACACACTACCCTAATCATGGTTCTCCGTCCTTGTCCATTCTGTCTTAAGGAAAGTCTTTCCACCAAGCAAATTCTTCTTACTTTAAGACCAGACTCCACAGTCTCACCTTCCTTAGGACACCGTCCAGGCTGAGACAGATCTGCAAGTCTCCCTCTTTTGTTCCACCGTGATCTCTGCGTGTGCCCCTTATAGATGCCACCACGGAGGACAAGAAGGACTTCTTTGTCAGACCGTCACTCTAGTCGCCTGCGAGGCTCCATATCTATCTGGCAAAGAATTATAAACACTTGGAAAATGAACTGCCTTGCTGTTTCTCAGTTAATATTGATTACCCTAATCACTAGACAGGTCCTAATGCTAATTGAGCATGCTCCGGGGAGATGAGAACACTAACACTGAACACAAGTGAAATAAATATATGATATTTTCCAAATTTGTAGAGAACACATCCTATTAAATGCTAAGTCATTGCAGCAGCATAATCCTGCAATTTGACAGCATGTTCAATAATGTCCCCAGAGAAATTTTCTATCGTGTAGTTGCTTTTTACTATCTGGGGTTTAATCAACACCTGAAATTATTTTAATTCTTGGTTTTATCACAGTACATACTTCAGTGCTAAAGAAAGAAATATTTCCTTCTACTCTTCACCTACCCCTCATCCTTAACAGCTGCTTGTTCCTTTGTTTTTTCATTTATTCACTAAATATTCAGTGTACTGAATACTCACTATGTGCCAGGCATTCTGCCACGTATTAGCCCCAAGGCAGGATTTGTAGCAGACAGAGAGTCTGCCCCATGGAACTAACTTTCACCAAGAAAAGAAAAGAAAATCAAAGAAGCAGACCTAAAGCAATTTACTAAAATAATTATGTCTGTGTATCCGGCCATGAAGGAAACAAACAACAGATGAAGCAGAGAACGATAAACTGGAGGTGACAGCAGATGTGGTCATCAGGGAAGACATCTGGAGAAGCAGCACTTGAGGCCACATCTGGAAAAAGAGAAGAGCCAGCCATATAAACTGCCAGAAGAAGAACATCCCAG